ACATCGCAACAACCGTATGCAACGCAGCGTTTGTGTACACCACAGTGCTTGCGTACACTACAGCGCCGGCGTACACGTGTACACCGCAGCTACCATGTGCAACACAGCGCCTGTGTACAACACAATGCTTGCGTGCTCCGCAGCGCCTGTGCACGCCACAGCGCGCGTCTACACCACAGCATCCGCGTGCAACGCAGCGCTGGTGTACACCACAATGCCTGCGCGCAGTGGACACGTAACAGGAGCATGTACGTGAGGATCTGCTGCGGACAACTAGACGCCACGCCAAGAAACTGCTGATAATCGAATGCGACATTCTTCCCTCCTCCCTCCTCCACCTCTACCACCTCCTCCTCCTCATTGTCCTCCTCCTCTTCCTCCTCCTCTTCCTCTTCCTCCTCCTCCTCTTCCTCCTCCTCCTCTTCCTCCTCCTTACCCCAGTCGTGCGGGTTGGCGCTACAGCGCGCGTGCGCATCCCAGCGCGCACCGCAGAATAGTCGATTGAATCGGACCATTTGGTTCCCGGACGGCCAATTTAGCTGGAGCCCCCTGGACGCAGATGGGAGGAGTTAGGGTGATGCGGGCGGACTCGGGAGGACTCGTAGATTCCAGCGGCGCTCCGTATGCGACACTGGTGCTGTGTTGCACGCGGATGCTGTGGTGCACGCAGGCGCCGTGGTGCACACAGGCACTGCAACGCACGCAGGCATAGTGGTGTACACTGGTGCTGTGTTGCACACGGCTGATGAGGTGTACGCAAGCGCTGTGGTGTGCACAAGAGTTGTTGTGCCCGCAGGCACGGTGGCACAAACTGACGCTGTGTTGCACGCGGCCGCTGTGGTGTACATAAGCGGCGTGGTGTACACAGGCGCTGTGGTGCACGCAAACACTGTGGTGTACACAGGCGTTGTGGTGCAAATCGCCACCTACATGCTGGCGCTACCCGACCTCCGTCATTCCTAGGCATTCCCAGACGCCGCAGGCGCGAAACGTGACGTCATCGACCCCCATCCACCCCCACCTCCTAGATGATTGCCGTCATCGGCCCGGGAAAAACAGGCTTCACCCGCGTCCGCGCGCACGACGACTATGAGCGACGAGCGACAAGCCACGAGCGACGACGACGACGACGACGACGACGACGACGACGACGACGACGACGACGACGACTGCCGACTGCGGACCAGACTCTTATGCGGATTCCTACGCGGACACCTGCGCGGATCCCAATGCGCACGGCGGCAGTGCCCGGAGCGCACTGGGGGGGGGGGGGGGGGCGTTACGTCATAGAGGGGGGGAGCGGGGGCCATGACGCCCGTCATGCCCCAAGCAAGAAAAAAACTGGCTCTAGGTCAATGAATCAGCGCGCGTCATGGTCGCGGAGCTCCTCGCGGAGGGCGCCGCCGTGGCCTGCCAATTCACTGCGAAACATTCGCTCCCGGCCATTCGCCTCCGACTCGACGAACTCGACTTGCCTCTGCTCCCTGACGGATGCGAGGCGGAGCGACATCTCTCGACCTTGCCACCGCGGCGGCGCGCCGCTCCAGGCTGGCGAGCTCCTCAGACTCCAGGCAGAGCCGGGCCGCCACCGAATGGCACTCGCCGCCGATGGGGGCACCGGTCCTCCACAGCCCCGTGCGGCCTTGCACCGCCATGCTCTCGGCAAGGTCCTGGTGCTTGTCCTGCTATTGCCGCTGCATCCCCCTCACGCGCTGACTGTACTCGCCCTCGAAGTAGTAGTGGACGCGGCCGACTCCGCCCCGCAAGGCCTCGCGTTGATCCACCGCACTCCGATGCACGAGGCACGCCTCGTACTGATGCATCTCGGAGCGGAGTCGGGCCACGAACTGCGCTTCGCCATGGCTCGCGATGGTCTGGGAATCGGCCACAAACTGGTATTGCTCGGCATGCTGGGCCGCCAGCGCCACGCCCACCTCGCGCTGGGCACGGGAGCGTTCGTCAGCAACGATTGCGGCAAGCGTTTGCTCCTGCGTTTGGGCCGCAACGCGCAGCGCAGCAGCAGCGGCCTCCTGTAGCTGCTGCCCGTAACTGTGACCCTTCGTTCCACTTCGGTCTCAAAACCCACCATGCCAATCACCCAGGAGAGACCCATCGACAACTCCAGCGAATCGAATGGCACATTGGCGGCGTTCTGGGCTGGCCGTGGCTGGAGCGGCGCAGCGGGGGGCGACCCGCGCAGGCGGGAAGGCGCGGCCAGAGCAGGCATCGCCATCGGGGCGCCCAGCGGCGGCAGCCGGAGGGCGGAGGGAACGGTCACGCCCCCGACCGCGGTGGCTATTCGTTGATGGTTTTTTAATCCTCTCGGCGTTGCGGTGCCCCCGACGTCGGCGGCGCTGACTGCTGCCTCAGGCTCGGCTGTAGGCCGAAGCCTACGGGCGCCGAGTGGGAGCGGTTCGGGTAGCTCTCGCGCGGCACGACGCCTGTCACCAGCTCTGGGTTCGGTTGCCAGTCGGGGCCCGCCCCCAGCGACGCTTGATCCATCCACGACGTTGTCGACGACGTTCGTCTGGCAGGTGCGTATGCGAGCGAGGTCGGCGCGAAGCGCGGTCTTACACCCCAAACAAAAAACACAAAGGGCAGACGAGCTCGATGGAACTCCGTCCTGTCCGGAGGCTGAGCGCCCAAGTGCGAGCGACTGGAAGGTCGCCGACATTCATTTGAGCAACGCCAACTGCGCGCAGAAGGCGGCGAGGATCGCGGAGAAAAGGGCGTATATGTAGAACACCACGCCACGAAGTCCTGTCCCGTTCGACTGGCGCCGAACGGCCACTGTCCGAGAGCAACGCAGAAGGCACGCAAACGGCGTCGAAGCGCGAGGAGAAGAGGACGTAGAAGTAGAAGGACACGCCTCCCCGGAAGCCACGCCCCGTTCAGCCGGGCTGAATACTCCAACGGACGCCGAACGGCCTTTGTCCGAGAAGAGCGTCGGATGGCGCCCCAAAAGACGAACGCGAAATTGAGGAAGATCACGCCTTGTCCCAAGTCTTGCCCAAGCCGGCCGGGGAAGATGAATCCCGCGGGCGCCGGCCTTCCCAGGGCACCTCGTGAAACGCGGTGCGCGTGCCTGGCCAGCGGAGCCAGGACGGTCCCTGGAGAAAGCCAGGCCGCTCTGGACATCCGTCGAGCCAGCAAGAAGAAAGGTAGAGTCCAGCCCAAGGCCAGCTGCTGTCCGTGCGGTCATTGGCGCTGCCATCTCGAAATGGCCCGAGTCTGGCAGGCATACTTTGTGAAGACCTGCAGGTACGCGTTGTCCGTGTAGAAATACTGTCGAATTCATGCGGTGCTCCCAGCTGGGAGCAGGAAGTACTTTGCCAAGACAACCTCTAGCGCTTCAACGCCGAAGCATCGGACCCCAACCACACGGCGATGTCCGTCTGGTTGTGCTGCTCAACCGCCGCAGCACTGTGACCGCTGGCGGCGCGGCGGGACAAGCGTTGGGGCGCGGCTCGCGCTGGCCAGCGCGCTCCAGCGCGCGGCCCAAACTCGACTCCAGAGAGCTTTTGTGTGGCATCCAAGGCTCTTAGCATGTGATCAGCCGAAGCGCCTGGCAACAATGGGTGATGCCGCCGATCGGCCTGGGCTGGATCGATTGTTTTTCCACTCGGAGGCTCGACGGAACTCCAAATCTCTTGGACCACACTGGGTACGGCGTTTTGCCGTTACCCCCGTGCTCTCCGTGGCCATGCTGATGATTCTGCATGCTGGATGCTGAGCTTCAGAGGCTCTGCAAAACGAAGAGGCGGCCGCACGCTGGCCACACTCCGCGCGTCGCCCACCCCCCGTGCGATCTGGACCTGGAGGCGGCCGGACACCAGCCACACTCCCAGGGCCGAGCCGCACGAATGTTTCGCAGCCTGTCCTGGCCGCATGGCCGATGGACCTCGCGGATGGTGTTGGTCCCAGACACGGCCGGAGTCGAAACTGTGCACGACCTCCTCTGACAACTCGCGGCTCACAGTCGGCCTGGGAGTTTCGGCCACGTTCACAAGACACGGTTCGTGTCCCCGGACAAGATAAATCTCATCAACGAGTTTGACAACTCAAACTTACAGGTGCGGCTTGCGAAGCGAGCTTGGATATTAAAGATGATACAAGAAAGGACATGTACGAAACCCCAGAAAGCTCTCAGCGAGGACGCAGCTGATGTGCGCCGCCGCGCCACGGGAATTCCTCGTGGGCTCGCGGGGGCACACTACGTCGCGCCAGCAGACGTACATCGCACCGACAGGAGTTCTCTTCAGAACCTCTGGCCCTCCTTACCATGCACAGGAAATGACGCGATGGCCTCGGGAGTGGCGGCGTCACCACTGCGCTTGTCACATGTCACTCACACAGTGGCATGCGAGTTATATACTTACCCAAAAAGACGCAACGATGTAAGACAAAATGTTACCAATTGAGTTTATCTTGAACTACTATGTTTACAACCAGGCCATAGGCCCTTATGTATATTTATAACTAGTGTACATGTAATCAATCACCGCTGCGTGAGGTGATGGACGTCTCAGGTGCCAGACAGAAATTGCTGCAGTATCTGTGGCGTCGTTCCACAGCTCTACTCAGAACGAGAGCCCAACGCAGGACGGTTGGGAAAAAACGCCCCCAGCGCTGTTCAGCACAACTAAGCCCTCCTTCCTTCCCCCCACCTACATCCAATTGGCCAGGGGGAGGGGCAGTGACCTTTGCGCCAGCACCCTGTCACAAACAAATGCTGCGTAAACGATCGGGATCGCGCAGACGAGATTGGGGATTCGAACGGGTCTTTCTGAGCCTGCCATGCGCAAACGTCTAAACCCGTGGACGGTATCACAAGGAGATAGCAAAGAGAGGCGTCAGGGCGAATGAAGAAGAAAGAGACAGGGGGGAGGGAACGCTGACGAAACATGCATAGCATTCGGATACAGCTTCTGCTAGCACCCAGCGCATTGCAGAATGGACTGCGCACAATCCCCCAGGCTTTGCGCGGCAAGCAGAACCATGCAAGCTTTCATTAAATGGAACAGTCCTACGGGCTTCATCTACGATTTCTCCGGGCCCTCTCGGCGCGGATGCGGCAGCGGAAACACGTCGGGTGCGCTCGCCTTTTCGGTTGCATTGAACCAAAAACGGCCACCGCTGCGACGGCAGTGCCCTCCCGAGGGCTGCGGCAGGGCCGCGGTCTCCCGCGAGCCTGAAAAAGGCCTTCAAGGGGGACGACTCTTTCTGCCGCCGCTGTGAACACCCGCGGCTACACGAAGAAGAAGCAGAAGAACAACAACAACAACAACAACAACAACAACAACAACAACAACAACAACAACAACAATCACTTTACCCGAACGCTCAGTGTTCTCACCAGTGCCAGGGTTTTCATGCGACGCCAGCCAATACCCCCACTTTGTGGGGGGGCAGTGCAAGCTCTACCAAATATCCACACGACTCTTCGCCACCACCCACACCCAGCTTCCCGCCCTATGACGTTCGGACACTTCACTTCGTGGCCTGCGGACGACCGTGGCTACTACACTGGCGTGGAGTACACACCCACAGAAGTTGTTAAGCCTACGTTCGTACACCCACAGTAAAATGTTGGAAAACCATTGGTTTTTTTAGGATTCGGACAGCGCGCGCGGGTGGAAATTTTGAAAAGTCGTGCAGGTGTTTTTCGAGGACCTACGGTGCGATTCGTGTGATTTTATGATGCGCGGTGCTAAAATTCTTAAGAACCCAATGGTTTTTGGAGATTTCGGCGTGCGCGCGCGAAGAAAAAACGAATGTGTCCCGCATGGTATTATTTGACAGGGATGATGGCCCTGGCAGGTGCGCAACCGTTGTCGCAGAAGTTCGAAAAAGTTGCTCGCAAAAGCCCGTTTGACAGAAATGTTTAAAAAGTGTTGGGTTTCCTACGAATCCGCAAGAGCGCGCGGGATGAGATTTTGACATTTTTTTGTTGAAAAACCATTGGTTTTTTGATGTTTTTATGTTAAAATCGCTCCGAACACTAAGCTTTTGGAAGGATTTCGTCTTGCGCGCGCGAATGTCCACTTTACCTTATTTTTTGCAAGGGATTCTTGAAATTTGATTATATTAGAACAAGAAATGTCATTTTATAGTGTTTTTTGCAAGGGAAAGCGGGGGGGAACAAAACAACCGGATCTTGATCACATCGAATTACCTGAGGCTTCCTCACGAAAATGATGAAAATGTAGCTGCGGCCTAGGCGGCGCAGGGGGGCCGTGCACCAGGGGTCCCAACAATAATTATTCTTTAGAATTAATAATGTTCAACAACAACAACAACAAAAACAAAAACAATAACAAAAACAAAAACAAAAACGAATGAACATACAGTCGGGAACTTGTGCCAGGCGTGTCGCGACGGTGGCACCTGCGACACGCTATGCCTTGCAAGCCTCCGCAGGACGGGAGGGTGGGAGGCGCTCAGCACGTCGATGCCTGGGGACTGGAACGCGCCACGCGTGCCGCGCCGTAGCGTGCTGGACCAGAACCGGCAGCGCGACACGCTCAGCAGACGCTCCTGACCATACGCCTTCGGAGGTCTGCGCGGACTTCTCGGATCGGCACCGCCGCTCGGAGCGCGCCAGGTGTGCGGTGCGCGAGGCACCCGCCAGGTGGGGGGGGGTCCAGCGCCGATCCGACACAAGAGAATCCGCGCGGACCTCCGACAGCTTTTCCATGCCTCCACCCACGAGCAGAGGGGGATAGAGGGGGAGGGGGAAGGCTTCTCAGAAGCACCCCTGCTTCTTGGAAAGCGCGGGCCTTGTCTGTAGATGTAGGGCCGGCGCCCTCTAAGAAGCGGTCTCCTTCTAAGCAGCCTTCCCCCGTCCCCCTACCCCCCTCTGCGCGCCGCCAATTGCCTACAATCAACACGTAGATTCAGGACGGGTGACAAGGACGCAAGACCCTTGGAGGCCGAGGAAGTTGAGCTTTTTGGGCGACGGGCGACCAGTGAAAACGGCAAAGGACGGGCCGCGGAGGCAAGGACACAAGGGCACCCTGGATGAAGGCGCGCGTCCTTCCTAGGCGCGTTGGCTGTATGCCGACATCTGCTCTTCAGATGAGCACCCCGAGGCTGCGCAGACATCCTGGCAGCCGTGCAGGGTTCACTGCGGCGACGAGGCGCCCCTACCAGCGGGCGGCGCAGGCTCCTCGCTCACCTCCGTTGGCGCTCCCTCGTGCGGTGCCTCCTCGTGGGGTCCGAAGGGGCCGTGCAGCGGAAAGTCCTCCGCCCCGACCATCCTGCTCCTCATCTCTCTCTCTTCCTCCTCCTCCTCCTCCTCCTCCTCCTCCTCCTGATCATCATCATCATCATCATCATCATCATCATCATCTTCATCATCATCATCATCATCATCATCATCATCATCATCATCATCATCAACATCATCATCATCATCATCATCATCATCATCATCAGCAGCAGCAGCAGCAGCAGCAGCAGCAGCAGCAACAACAGCAACAGCATCAGCATCATCATCATCAGCATCATCATCAGCATAATCTTCATCCTCATTATCATAATCATCGTCATCATCATCATCATCATCATCATCATCATCATCATCATCATCTTCAGCATCAGCATCATCATCAGCATAATCATCGTCATCATCATCATCGTCGTCGGCATCATCATCAGCATCATCATCACCATCTTCAGCATCATCATCAGCGGCATCATCAGCATCATCCTCAGCAGCAGCAGCATGAGCCTCATCATCATCATCCTCATCATCATCAGCAGCAGCATCATCATCCTGATCCTCATCCTCATCCTCATCATCATCACCATCACCATCACCATCACCATCATCATCATCATCATCAGCATCATCATCATCATTATCATCATCATCATCTGCATCATCTGCATCATCATCATCATCATCATCATCATCATCATCATCATCATCATCATCATCATCATCATCATCATCATCATCATCATCATCATTATCACCACCATCATCATCATCATCATCATCCGAGCTTCACCAAGCCCAGGGCTTTCAGGAAGTTCTCAGTTGTCCCCTGCAACGGGCCTCAGCTTGAGGCCCCCATGGGTTCATGGACCCTGGACCCTCAACAGGTCCCGACGGACCTCGAGGCAGGCATCAGGGATTGGTTCGGCAACCGGGAGATGCGTCTTGGAAACACTTAGGACATCCCCTCGGCAGAGCGGGATCAGTGCATGGGCAGGTCCCTGGGTTACCAGATCTCCAAGGTGCCCCTCCAGACTCTTCTTGATAGGGAACCTCGGCGACGTTTCAGTCCGACGACGGTGCATTGGATGGCGTGTAGGAGCTTAACCAGCAGAGCAACTCAGATGGCGTATAAAAGCCTAGGTCGACGAGGGAGGGAGGTCCTGAGCAAGTGGGTCAGCACCATGATAGGGATGTTGGCCATGATGTATGAGACTGACCCTCCGCCGAGGGGGAGCAGCGATCCCTCGACCCCAGACAGGCCGCCCAGCTCTGCGTTGCGCTCCCTGTTCCAGCGCATAGGGGACGGCATGGTCGACGACGGCGACCCGCTCCTCGTGCATTTGTCCGCCCACTGTGACCTCTTGCAGCGCACCCACGCCAGCGAGAGGGGGGGGGAAGAAATGGAGGACGCGGGCAAAGGACCCAGTCAAGAATGGGGCGCAGATTGCACACGCCTATGCAAAGAAGCGTCGGCATGAGCCGCGCCACCCCGAGGAGCCTGGAGGGCTCCCAGTCAATGACGACCAGGCGATCGCCCAGCCACTCGACGGGTGGCTCCCCATGTGGGCCCCAGGTGGCCGTGACGAGGTCGACCACCAGTGGGACATCGACGGCTCGACCTTGCCCCCTCTGACCCCCGAGTCCTTGCAGGAAAA